CGACTGCTGGCTGGGGAATTCTGGGAGTTGAAGTCCAGACATCTTCAAGTTGCCAAGGTTGAGAAACACTGCTTTAGAGCGGCTGGGGAATTCTGGGAGTTGAAGTCCAGACATCTTCAAGTTGCCAAGGTTGAGAAACACTGCCCTAAAGAATCCAGGAGAACCTGGGTGGGGGACTCGGGACTAGCCAGAGTCACCTGCACAGAACCCAGGCTCGGAGGTGTCTCACACGAGAATTGCAAGCAAGGCCTTATGTAGGAGCTCACAGGGACGGGGAGGCAGAGGTAGTTTGAAGACTCTGGGTGGGAGAGGAGGTCTTGGGCCAGGACCTGTCTGTCTCCCTTGCTGGAACCGGCCAGTCCTGCCTTATGGCCACCACCAGCACCTGCCCAGCCCTCTCCCTCGTGGAAGCCAGTGGACATCTTCTGAGTGGGAGAGATGGGTTGTTCCCCACGGGGCTGAGCGATGCATGGCCCACCACTGAGGGTGGAACTGCCTTCCTTCCTTCCTTCCTTCCTTCCTGAGATGCTTCACCAAAGGAGGTACGGGGCTCCTGCCTCGGTGTGTCTGATCTGTCCTACTAAACCGACTCTACGGGGTGACGTTTCCCTCTAACCGTTTCTCTTCTCTCTGCCTTTTTCCTTCCTCCTCTTCCTCCTTCTCCTGTCCACTTGCCGACTTGCACAGACCAGCTCTACCAGCAGCTTGAGCAAAACCGGCGTCTCACTCATGAGCTAAAGTTGGCCCTGAATGAGGACTAAGCTTCCGTGCTTCCTAACCCAGGTCTCTCGACTCACCTGCCGCCCAACCACGCGAGGGGCCTGTGTCTGCTGCCGCCGGTTGGGGCTGAAGCTGGTGGGGGGCCTAGGAGGCTTTCAGGTTCTGTCTCAGCCTTAAGATGGGCTACGCTCTGGATCACGGTCTGATTAAAGGGAGGCCACCGAGGAGTCTCCTCCTTGGGAGGGGTGCTTTTACTAGCAATTCTGCTCTTTGGGGGGGGGGATATGCTGAAATTGGAACCGTGGTGACGTTTGCTTCCTGTGGGGCCCAGGAATGAGGTCTCACCACTTAACGTTTCTAGCCCAGGTCACCTTTTGTTGGTCAACTCCGCTTGTGGTACCTTTGCATCGTTGTGAAACGGCTGTTGCTGTGTTGATTGTATGTGGATCCCGAGCTTCTGTGCTTTTGTCTCCCATCACAGACGTGTATTTAATGCCTTTCCTACACAGTATGCATGTGACTTTACCCTGTGAAAGACGCTTCACTTTTCCCCAGCAGCAGAAAAATCCCTGAAATTTCCCCAGCAGACAGAGAGCTGCCTCTTTCCTCCACCCTTCTACCATTTCTGCAGTCCTGGTGGAGTAAAATTGCAAAATGCTTCGGTCAGCATTTTTAGTTCATGGATTTCTCTTTTCTTTCTGCTGCAACTTAACTCTTCCCCCCACCTGTTTAAATTTGTGATAGAAAAAGAAGGGTGGATTTTCTTTCTTTTTAGAAGGAGGCAGGTTTAGTCAGCCAGCTGCCACAGCAATAACTGACAAAATCACCGACTCCTTCAGGTGTTTCAGGTGCTCCGGTTCTGTCTTAAATACGCCAAAACAAGTTTGACTTGGCCAGATCCGTTTGGGGCCTGGCTAGAAGGTGCTTTGTGCCTTTTCTGCTTCAAATACTTTGACTGCCACAGGGAAGCTATGCATAGGGGTTTCACCGCAACGTTTGCCTTCCTGCTGTTAAAGGGTGCCTCCAAATGACGCCTTTTCATTTTTTTTCCCGACCCAAAACAGAAAAAGTGGCTAATGCAAAAGAAGAGAACTTCAATATGCATCAGATGCTGGACCAAACTCTACTGGAGTTAAACAACATGTGATATAAGTCCCTTAGCTGGGATGATGCCAACATCAATTTCATTTCTAGTTTTGTTTTTGTTTTTTTAAAAACACCACCTGCTTGCCATGAAACCTCTTGAAATGTGTCCTTATTTTATCATTCCCGCTTCCCCCCCCCCCCCCCACCCCCTTGTTGCCACAATCATCCCAGGCCTGTCCGCTCTATCCAGGCGTGGAGTTGGGGAAAAGATTAAGAGGGGAACAAGATGCAGGAGTTATGGGAGGGGGGGGCATCTGCCAGCTATGGGGTGCCCTTCTTGGGACTCCTGTTTCCTGCGCTTTGGATGGAGTCGGTTAATGCCAATTGTCTGCAGGCTCCAAAAAAATGGGAATATTCTTTTGTTAGGGTTGCCAAGGTAGGTCTCCTTCGGTCCAACTGTCAGGGGCGCAGGGCGAAGTGGGGAGGGGATTTTAACCTGCTTGTCTTGAAAGAAGAGTCAGCCATGCCGCCCTCCAGCCCCTCCCTGGATGACCCAGCCCTTCGCCCAGCCGGGAGCTCTCTTTTTTTTTTCCCTGGAGGGGCCTGAGGCTCAGCATGGAAAGAAACCTTGAGCATCGGGCGGCATTTTGGTCTGCGGAAGGTTTTGTGGCGGCTTCGAAGATCTGTTGCGCTTGGGAGCCCATCCTTAACCTTACAGGGAGAACTTCCCACGGCAGTTTTTGTGTTGTCTGAACCAAATACGTTTTGGTCTTTGCCGCCTGTTTGTTCAACACGCCTTTCCCTTGTCTTGTTCTGAGCAGTTTTGGAGAATCATTTCTGTATGTAAACATTGTATAATTGATGATCATGGAATAAAATACACACTCTAGAACATTTTTTTTAAAAAACCCCAACGGTTGTGGCCTTGTGATCTTTATTCTGCTCCCTGAAGGATTCCAACATTGGAGGTTTCCAAGCCAAGGTTGGACGGTCATTTGCCTGGGATGGTTTGAGGATTCTGGTGGGTGGAGAGCAGAAGTTTCCAACCTGGGCAGTGTCCAGATGGAGGGATTTGGCTGGGGAATTCTGGGAGATGAAGTCTACCCAGCTGAAAGTTGTCAAGTTTGAGAAACTCTATAGCAATAACAGTTAGACTTATATACCGCTTCATAGGGCTTTCAGCCCTCTCTAAGCGGTTTACAAAGTCAGCATATTGCTCCCACAATCCGGGTCCTCATTTCACCCACCTCGGAAGGATGGAAGGCTGAGTCAACCTTGAGCCGGTGAGATGTGAATTGCAGCTAGCAGTCAGCTGAAGTGGCCTGCAGTACTGCACCCTAACCACTGTGCCACCTCGGCTCAGTACTCTAATCTTCATGTTCCCCTTCTTGACCCCTACGAGTCTAGGGCAGCGGAGTCCAACCTTGGCCACTTTTTAAGGCCTGTGGCCTTCAGCTCCCAGAATTTCGCAGCCAGCTACAGGTCTTAAAAAGTGGCCAAGGTTGGACACCCATTTCTAGGGTTTACTTCTTGCAGTGTGGTGCGATAGCCAGGCCTTTAGCTGTGGGACAAAGTTAAACTTTGCTAAATGAAGCCAGACTTTGTCTAAAGTGGAGATAATTTTGGCAAATGATAAATGACTCAGCTTCATGGGGAAAGTGGGAATGGAGAGTTAAAACAACAAGTGGTGCTGGGGGCCCCATCTGGTCTGCGTTTTATGGCACGTTTGAAAATTGTTTGGCCTGGCCTGGTGCTGAAGTCGAAGGGTTTAAAACTTAATTGGAATTGGATTCCCCTTCATTTCCTGGATTCTGCGATTGTGAGTGGCCAAAATATCTGGCCGCCTGTGCTTTCCTCCTCTTTCCCCCAACAGGTCATCGCTCCTTCTGTTGTTGACTTTGGGGCTAAAAGGACAGAAAAGCCACATCCTTGGGACATTCCCCTTCGTTTTAACCGGCTGTTCAGTGAACTCAAGACAGCCCAGAAAGGACTCCAGAGACAATAAGCCTCCAGCTCTACTGTTGTCCACGAGCACCATGGAGGATGGTCTGGCCAAGGGTGGGACACGTTGCTTCTGGCCCTGAAGCACTTAATGGAACTGAGACCAGATTGCCTGGGGAGCCCTTTGCACTCACATTTTATCCCCTCTTGCCCGAGGAGGGGCTTGTCTTCAGGAAATACACGAAGACTCCTGTATTTAGTAACCGCAACTGGCTAGTTGGTTGTTAAATGGTCACTAAGTGAAACGGACACTGCTTATGATCTGACTTTCAACATTCCTTTGATTCGTTGACCTGCCAAGATTGTACATGCAAGAACTGGTCGCAAAGTGACTTTCCCCCACTGTCGTTAAGTGCAAACCGTCATTAAATAGCATCAGTGGCCTGCGAAGCATGAAGCCCTTCCGGCCAGTGGCCAGAGTCCCAATTCAAACCACTTCCACTTGGGTGGAGAAAGCACGTTCTTGGCTCCTGCTACGCCCAGGGTTGCCTTTCTCTGGAGCTCCGTGGGGGAAGGGATGCAGCAGTTCAGGGCTTCGCATGAGCAGGTCTCCTGGGTACCCCCCAAGTCCAAAACGGAGCAGCCCCAGGAAAAACAACATTGAAGGCGGGTGGGACTCCGGCTCCTATGATTCCCATTCTCCCACCCGCACAGATGCCTCTTTGAGAGTGGGAATGATGCTCAATGTGCTTCCTCTCTGGCGAGCAGCCCAAGATTGGACTGGGAAGGCAAACCTCGCACCCTCCTGGCTTGTAGGCATCGTGGAGGTCAGCTCCCAGGATTCCCCAGCCAGCAAGGAGGGAGATTCTGGGAGTTGAGATCCCTGTCCAGTGGTCTCCAACCTTGGCCACTTTAAGACTTGTGGACTTCAACTCCCAGA